TGTAATTTTACAACTTATCCACATACCATGTCAACCTATAATCTATCAGGATTCTCGACTATGCTCTATTGTCATTATCAGGACAAAGAAAAGGTAGAGAAGTGAATGTTAAAGACAAGACACAGAAGCAGCATTATGATGTTTTTGTAAAACAGAAACCTAGGGGGAACAGGAGATTAAAAACAAAACTGAAATATTATTAAGCTGTGATTCTGTCTGCAGTAGTGAATGTCTTTGTGTGTGTGTGTGCGCGTAATAAGCACAGACTTCCACAGTAAATAACCTTTCCTGAGTTTTCCTTCTGCTACGGTTTTGTGAGTATATGCAAGATCAGCACACAGAGGGCATTAACAATTTTACTATTTCGTTCAAAAAGCTAATACCGAGCAACATTTTATCCTCACTTTCAGTCTCATCCCCTTTAACACCCAACACTGCTACACTTACTAAACTTTACACTACACTAACTAAAGCAGAGAGCAGTCATTTTGCTTCTTTCTCCAAGACAAACAGGAACTTCCTCTTCAGCACTAAAAAACTCTTCTAGCCAAGGCCGCTGCTCCAAACCATTTTTAACACACTGTTTATTCTAATTACATGATTTCAACTTTTTAGCCAACATTTCTTTAAAGTAATTACATATAAAACATGGCTCTGTTAGCACAGGTAGTTGTTCTTATAAGCAAGAACTACTCTGGATGGCAGCTGTCAATTGCCTTTCTGAATTTTACAGTGAGGAAGGCGCATATGGGTTTACACACACTTACTTCCCAAAAGCAGTTGCACAGATCTGAATAGCATCTTTAGAAGTTATGTCTTCACACACTTTAAAGTGGTCGCTAATACTCTTGAACTGCCATGGACACTAAAAACTTCTAAAATAAAAACTGTCAGCACATGCCAGCACTTTCAGTGTCTTGTTCTTGCTAAGTTCCTCTTGTTTGCACGTCACCTGTAATATCATGTGTTATTATTTGCACATACTAGCATACAAGAGAAATAGAATATGCTCGCTTTGAAGACTTCTTTAAAAAGGCTTGAAAATAAAGAAATTCATTTGTTACATGAGATCTCTTAACTCGATCAAAATTGTGTCCTGTTCTGTTGGTGCTCCACCCTATCTAAATGCAGTAGTGGTGGTTGGTTTGGGTAGGTTATTTTGTACCGAAAATACACTAGCCAAAAAAGACAGAGAAGTAACATCACAACAACCAACCTCTTATGCATATCCAGCAGTCCTCCTTCCTGTTGTGCTTTGCAAGCTCATCTTCAGTCACTTCAATCAGCCTCCCTTTCAGACCAGCCAGATCCTTCCCACTTTTAGTTAGCCGAATCCAATCCATAAGGCTCCTTCCTGGCTTCAGAGGTACCTAGAGCCGCAAACATGCGAGCATTCATCAACTCCAAGGAAAGCACGAGTCCGACAAAACACTTCCAAACTCCCGAGGAGAAAGAGCAGCACCTGTGCCCTTCGCTGACACCCGGGACCCCTACAGAGCTCACCGGCGACGCTTGGACCGCGGCCTGAAAACCCGCGGGCAGGAGTAAAGGGGCAAAGGCCCCGGCCAAGGAGAGGAGCCTGCAGGCCGCGGTGAGGCAGGGAAAGGCACCTGAGGCTCCACCTTGCCGCTGTCCAGGGCGGCTCTCCCACC